ATTGGAGAGATTCTGTAACTCAGTTGTCAAGTGGTCTTTGTCAGCCAGGCGTTTGGTTCTGGAGATGAGAGTCTTGGCTACGGAGTTTATTTGTGCAGGGTGGTGGTGTGATTGTGCATGTAAGTAGCGGTTGGTGTGTGTTTTTTTCCGGTAGATAGTGTGTCCTAGGGAGCCATCAGGTTTTTTGTAGATTAGGACGTCAAGGAAGGGAAGTTGGTTGTTGGCTTCTATTTCCATAGTGAATTGTATTTTGGGGTGTAGGCTGTTGAGATGTGTGAGGAAGCTATCTAGTTTTTCCTTCCCGTGTGGCCAAATTACAAAGGTGTCGTCAACATATCTGAGCCAAAGTTTGGGTTTGTGTTCTGACTTGTCTAAAGCATTGGTTTCAAAGTGTTCCATGTACAGGTTTGCGATGACCGGTGAGAGTGGTGATCCCATAGGTGCTCCTTCTATCTGTTTGTATCTTTGTCCATTGTGGATGAAGTACGTGTTGGTTAGGCAGTGGTTGGTCAGGTCCAGGATGTATTCGGGGGATTGTATTTGTTTTGAATGGCTGTCAAGGCTTCATTAATGGGCACTTGTGTGAAGAGAGATACAACATCGAAGCTCACAAGTAGGTCATTGGGATGTAGGTTTTGCTTCTTTATTGTTTCTATGAACTGGAAGGAGTTTGTAACGTGTGAAGAGATGGATTCTGCATAGGGCTGAAGTTGCTTAGCGAGAAATTTAGCGAGATTTTGTAGAGGTGAGCCTATGGAGCTGACTATTGGTCTGAGTGGTGTTCCTTCTTTGTGTATCTTGGGGAGGCCGTAGAGTTTGGGGCATCTGGATGATTTTTCTCTGGGGATGATTCTTAGCTGGATTTCTTCACTGATAGGAGAGGCTTTTATTTTGGATTTGGTGGTTTTTTCCAGATAGGTGGTGGGATCTGTTTTTATAGGTTGGTAGGTAGGGTCTTGGAGTAGATTTGATAGTTTTGCTTGGTAGTCCGATGTGTTCATCACAACAGTGGCATTACCTAATGACCCACCTAAGTGGTACTCAGGATATCACTCAAGAAATCACTCAAGATATCCCTCAAGTAATTAAGGAACAAAAGAAGAAAAGGCACACTAACCTGGGAACTTCCTCTCTGCCCAGAACATTGGAGGCTATACACCACACCCCCTCAACAGTATTTATAGGAACTCAAACACTGAGATCCTGCTCTGTTCCAGTAACAAGAAGCCGAAAGCACCAGCCTGAAGATGACGAGTGAGACCTCGTCGAAACGTCGCCTAGACACCCCAACTTTTACACGGGAAGACACCCGAGGACACCAAAACCTGCATTCCTGTACCCGTGAAAATCTACGAAAGCATATATATATATATATATATATATATATATATATATATATATATATATATAAAATCTTTGAAAGTGGCTACTTTTAAATAATAACTAAGAGAGACAGGAACTGGCAAAACCATACATTTAAGTCTTTTAAACAGACATTTTATGTCTTTTTAGCTGAGCAATTTTCCTTAAGAACTATCAAAAGCAGACATAGCATTCCATTTAGGAAATTCAATATGTTAGGAGTCTACTGAAAAATTATGAATGCAGGCTTTTAACGACCTTTAGATTCCTCATTGATTTAGCTGCAGTTGCACATGCAACCAAATTAATTAATCAAAGTAATTTGTTACTCCCCCAAGAGTTAATATTAGGCCCGCAACAATATTTTCTGATTTCAAAATTTGCATTTGATGCAGCCTGAGAGATGGCTGAAAGAGGATCCACCGAATGGAACATCTGACTTGTTTCGTTGATGACTAGCACACTTTTGTTTCTGTAGTGACAACTCTTCAATTCCCAATTCCATTCTTCTTTTCCTGCACTTGACTTCATTTGTCCACACGGCTGTTTAATTGATTGATTTTACTTACAACTTTTTGTAGTGACATATTGGGCAAAGTGTTGGCACAGCACTGTCAAAAGTACATCAGCTGGCACAGTTGTGAGCAAATTAAGCCATGGACCAGGAATTGGGAATTTGCCACTTTCCAGAACTTGCTGTAATATCATTCTTATCATCCCTGGGCTGCTAGATGGTGGCTGGACCTAATCGAAGTCCAACAACATGTTCCTGCCATAGATAGTGAAGGCATAGAAGAACGGAAATGGTGCTGAGAAGAACAGCATCGAAACCAAATGAATGTTGAACATATTATCATGAAGCATTGTAAAATAACAGAAACAGAAAGGTGCTTTTTGACACTTGCAAAACGAGGGAAGCCATTTTGTCTCTACATAGTTTCTACATTCTACAATGGCGGGATTGAAAAGAGATTTGCCTATTGTCCAATGCAGTACTTTCCAGTGCATTTTCCCACCACTTCCCTTATTGCCAAAAGGTTCGGTTTTTGGGGGGAGAAGCAGGTTTGTTACGGAAGAGTGGCGAGTCAACTTTAATTGCCCAACCTTAATTTGTCACGATGAGATTGAATCCCATATGAAAACAGCAACATTCTGGATTGCCCTATACTTCACTTGGGTCTGTAAGATCAGCCAGAAAAAGGAACTGGGGCCCAAACAGCTACCTAGATCCATGGATAGAGCTTGTCCTGGCTTAGTGGAATTCTTTCCTTTGAACAACTTGCATGGTAGAGTGCCTATTAGTTTGGAAAAGAAATGGGACTGTGCAAGAATAAGTTGTTGGTTTCTATTATCCCCAAGTATACAGAAGTACAGAAGTTTACAATTTATATATATTGTACAGTGGTGCCTCGCAAGACGAAATTAATCCGTTCCGCGAGTCTCTTCGTCTTGCGGTTTTTTCGTCTTGCGAAGCACGGCTATTAGCGGCTTAGCGGCTATTAACGGCTTAGCGGCTTTAAGAAAAAGGAAACAAACTCGCAAGAACTCGCAAGACGTTTCATCTTGCGAAGCAAGCCCATAGGGAAATTCGTCTTGCGGAACGACTCAAAAAACGGAAAACCCTTTCGTCTAGCGAGTTTTTTTGTCTTGCGAGGCATTCGTCTTGCGAGGTACCACTGTACAGAAAAACTTGAAAACCAAAGAAAGATCAACAAGCACCTGTAAACTTCCGGGACTTATGTAACATTGATGGCATAACTGTGAGGAGCCCATAGAGATAACTCACCTCATTGTCCAGAGATGGAACTTCTGGATTTACATTAGACACTAAAAACAGGAACTCTTATTTTTTGTGGCTATGTTTTGTTTAGGAGATGGGGTAAGCATGACAAAATGATGCCCCAAATCCTGATCACTGCCCCCCCCATGATTGCCTACTGCCTGTGTCTGGAAAGTATGATTCTATAATATTCTGCGCAGACCCCACTGGCCTCAAACTGTTCTTAAAATGTCCAACAGTTGTAAAAGTAGTCTGCGATGTGGAATTGGGTCCACTCTTTGAGAAGTATAAGGAAAAATGCCCTTCATTTAATTATTTGTTGGATCCTGGCCATTTTCAAGTTTGCGATACACAGGCACCTAAACAGCTGTTCTTCGTGGGTTGTCTTGTATCTCATAACAATTATGTTTCCTTTCTCTGGAATGGGATGAAATTTGGTGACTGAAGGTAAGCTGGGTTTTAGCAGCCCTAGTTTGTATTTAGATTTTAACTGGTAATTTAGATGTCCTCAGTTTAAATTATTGTAAGTTAAACTCTCAGGATTGGGTAGGAAAACCTTTCAAACCCCTAATTAATTTCTTGGAAGTAAGCAACTTATTATTTACTCAAGTTCTATTAGTTTCACTGGAACATGCTTCCCTGTAGATGTGCATAGGATTTTCAGTCTTAATTTATTTTGTCCAGGGATTGCATAGAAAAACTGCTTAATCGAGCAATGACTCTGTCTAGATCATACCCTTCAGCAGATGTGCTGCTGAATAAAATGAACCCAGTTTTCTTTGAAAAATGCTGGAAAATTAATTATGACTTGTGCTAAACCGAGTTGGGTAAAATACAATGAAAAGCACTTCACACAAATGCAAAACTCTCTGATGATGTTAGTGAAAATTTAGAAAGTCTTCAACTCTGTGTAATAGCCAACAGTCAGCATTAGAAAGTTGTCCAAACTCCCTAATTGCCAGCTGTTTCCACCCTGCTGTATGATTTCAGTAGTGTCACATCTTCAGATGGCAACTCATTTTAATTGGCATCTGTTTTTCCCCTCATATCTCCATCTGTCCCAAACCATGAAATGTTTTTTGTGCAAACATGCTGGCCCAAAAGAATAATTGGTGTAAGTCCATTTAACTGAGCCACACCCCAAAGAAGCAGAAATCAGTAATAAAGCAAGCCAAGTCATTATAGGAATTAGAGCTCATCGTTTACCAATGGGAAGCCAACCAACAGGTTTCGAAAATTACGTATAAAAAAATCATTATTATGGCTTCGCTGGGCATGGTTTCATTAGCTTAAATATTTTTAAATGGACACATGAAACTTGGATAGGTACACTTGCATATGCACACTAGTTAAATCCTCCAGTAATTTAGCCCACGACTTCCAGCAATATCTGGAGGGCCAAAGGTTCCCCATCCCTGCTATAGAGAGATAAAGTATTGCATTATATTTGTGTATATCAATGCTGGGGTTTTCTTTACCACAATTCTCCCTATGTAAATAAATGTTCCAGCACCTTGATAATGTGGCACACAGATTTGCAGTTCGCCCTTTGAATTAAGAAGTACTGGCTTCCTGATCTGGTGAATTTCCACCAAAACATTCAGCCGAGATGCAATACACAGTGGAATTCTAAGCAGCTGTCCTTGGGAGAAAGTCCTCTTGAATTCAAGGAGATCGCCTCCTTGTAAATGTGTTTTAGGATTGCAGCTGTAAGTGACTCTCCATTTGTACACGTTCATTACAGACATTAATGGTTTGGTCGCCTAATTCATATCGTCTGCACAGAGCAGCCCTCAGCACTGTCAGATTCTGAACATTATTACTTGTGTATCTCACTACTACAGGAAAAACTCGTTACCTGTTGCTTTTTCGGGGTTATTACACATGAAGCACTGCCAAGCCCCTGCTTCCTCGCTGTAACCAAATAAATCAAAGAACCTCACTTCTTCCAGATGTATCCGCACATGGTCCAGATCCTAGGCAAGTTATAAAAAAGAAAACAGAGGGGGTGGGGAGAGAGAGACACCAACCCTGTTAGGAACAGACCTGACTGATGTGCAATTTATTACCTGCAAAATAAAAAGTAATAAGGTTAAGTACTTCTAGCAATGGGAACTGAAAGTAAAAGTTTATAAGCAATGGGAACTGAAAGTAAAAGTTTATAAGCAATGGATTCAAGCTCTCAGTCTTGTATAATATAGCAATCACGCTGTGTGCTGTTCTGTAACTACTCCAGTCAACTTTTTGGTGATTGACTAATGAAATTTTTAAAAGCTGTACAGAGTGCAGACTGAGCACTATGTCTGATCGCCTGGAAAGTGATTCTCCTGTGGCCCTCCAAATGAAAATGGCTTCTCAGCCCTGCCCCACAATGATTATTTTAGAGATCCTCAGTGTTGCAGAGTAGTCCACACTGAATGGTCTTCACTTTTGTACTAATGACAGGCTAAAGTGAAAGTGTAATTGTGGATTGCAGAAGATCCATGCTGTTGTTTGCTGGGCTATCTGGCATCTAGTGAGGAACACGTGTCCTTTGTTGTTGTTTAGTTGTTTAGTCATGTCCGACTCTTCATGACCCCATGGACCAGAGCACGCCAGGCACTCCTGTCTTCCACTGCCTCCCGCAGCTTGGTCAAACTCATGCTGGTAGCTTCGAGAACACTGTCCAACCATCTCGTCCTCTGTCGTCCCCTTCTCCTTGTGCCCTCCATCTTTCCCAACATCAGGGTCATTTCCAGGGAGTCTTCTCTTCTCATGAGGTGGCCAAAGTATTGGAGCCTCAGCTTCAGGATCTGTCCTTCCAGTGAGCACTCAGGACTGATTTCCTTCAGAATGGATAGCTTTGATCTTCTTGCAGTCCATGGGACTCTCAAGAGTCTCCTCCAGCACCATAATTCAAAAGCATCAATTCTTCAGCGATCAGCCTTCTTTATGGTCCAGCTCTCACTTCCATGCATCACTACTGGGAAAACCATAGCTTTAACTATACGGACCTTCAAGCCCCTTCGCCACGGCAAGGCAGTGATCCATGAAGGGGAACACGTGTCCTTTCGGATGTCCTAAAACTAACCCAGAAAAACAAATTATTTTGAAGCTAAATTCATAGAATCAGTTGGAAGGGACCCAGGGTCATCTAGTCCAACCCCTGCAATGCAGGAATCTCTGCTAAAGCATCCATGACAGATGACCATCCAACCTCTGCTTAAAAACCTCCAAGGAAGGAGAGTCCACAACCCACCGAAGGAGACTGTTCCACTGTCGAACAGCTCTCACTGTCAGAAAGTTTTTCCGAATGTTTAGTCGGAAATGCCTTTCTTGTAACAGGCTGAATTTTATTAGAACAGGATCTTTTAGCTTGATGACAAAACAGAAATGCCATTTTATCTCCCACAAGAAACTTGTTCAAAGTTTTCTCTTCTTCCCCCTTTAGGGGACCTGTTACCTAGATTTTGTTGACGCCTTAAAGGACACAGAGTAAGATTTCCTTCGCAAATGACAGCATGAGCTAACACAAATGATTTCTAAATGAATTGCAAGGAGGTTGCCGTGTTTGTTTAAAAAGTAACATAGCCTATGTACTTTCATAAATATCCATGAAGCAATTGACCGGAAATCTGTTAGGAAATAAATACATCTGGAAGCATTTTACTTACCAGAATATTTGTACTACGTTATAAAAATATTTTCTGCGGTATGTGCATACTGAAGAGTACAACACAACATTCTTTGCTAGCTAATTTCTTTTTTTAAAAAAAGACTCTGTTTAACCCATATGCACTGATTTGGCCATATTCTGCAGTCTCTTACAATTATACAAGTCATAAACCCTTTCACTGAAGTCACTGGGGTATGTTCTTCTGCCAGAGAAATTTGCTGATTGTGTAAACTTCAAGTTTACATGAGTGGAAGTAAAGAGAAAGAAGAAGAAAAGAAAAGAAAGAGGGGGAGAAGAACCTCTCACCAGAATTTAGCACCAGCAATTTTAAAAAATAAATCTAACTTAATACATCACCTGTGCATGTACTTATTCAGAAGTAAATTTCTTTGGGTTTGATTGGACTTATTCTCAAGAAAGTGTTGCATGGGATTTCAGCTTAAGAATAACAGGCTATTATTGTCAGGTAGCTGCATAATAAAACACTACTTGTGTATGATTGACAATATGATAAATTGAATGTTATCCTTGTATTTTATACTAGGGGCCTCAGCTCATGTTTCTTGCCAACCTCCCTAGACATCATTTTTGCTCCTTTTAATTGACAGGTGGTGTCAGCGGTGCCTCAGGTCCCAGCTCACAAAGGACCAACGCCAGTTGCTCTTTATAAACAAAAGTCTTTTTTGTGGTTCATTGTTGGTTTGACATCCGTGGCGCGCAGCGCTACGTCTGAGTCCTTAGACCGGCGAAGCTCCGTCTGAATCCGCCCCTCCCTTGCACCAGTTCAAGACCCGAGCTTTGCTCCACCTCTTCCTCTCCTCCCTCTGCTCCTTTCTCCTCCGGGTCCTCCTGTCCTCTGGGGTTGCAACCCTCCTGGACTCTTCGGAGGCGGATTCTTCTGACTCCTCCCCCTGTCTCCGGCGGGCTTTGGGACCTGGCTCCCAATCCGGATTTTCTGCTGTCCCGCGCGCCTCTACATTTGAACTTGGCGCGCGCGCCCAGCCACCCACTTTCCTCCTAACGGCTACACTGCTCCCTTCACTGCTTCCTCCTTCAGGGAGGCTGGCCGGCCCTGCTCTCTCCTCCGCCCCCCCACTCTCCAACGGAGGCGTGGTCAGTCCTGCCTCACTCTCTCCTCCTGCAGGAGGAGGCTCTTGTTCTACGCTGTGGGATTCTTCCCCCCCGCTGCGCTCCGGCGGGGAAGCTGGCCCTGATTTCCAGCTGCCGCTTGGAGACTCCCCACTGGCCCCCCTTGCCCTGACCCTGGGGGCCTCCTTCTGAGAATCTTCTGATTCGCTGGAGAGACTCAGGGAATCTCTCTGGTCACTGTCATACCCTCCTGAGCTCCCCTCAGATTGTTCCCCTTCGCTCTCCATCTCCTCCTCCTGTGGCTCAGCCCCTGAGCCCCTGACAGGTGGGTTGTGCTCAGGATAGCATGTATGTTTCTCTGTGTCCATTTAATGCTCACAACAATCTTAGGAGTTAGGTGGTCCTCTCAAACCTTGGCTGAACCTGTCTTTTCCCTTCAGGTTAGGCGAAGCCAAGCAATGGTGACTGGCCCAAGGTCAACCAGAAAGCTTCATGACTGGAAGGCAATCTGAACCCAGTTTCCCCCATGCTGCCTCTTAATCACACCGATACCTGATTCTTCCTCCAAGGAGCTCAAGGAAGCTTACACATGGTTCCCCAGCAGTCTCCTAACTGAGCAGCTTACAGGACTAGGCCTGCTTAGCCTCAGTAGAATCATGTGCCTTTCGGCCATTCTGGACCCGGGTAGATGTGCTGTGGGAAATCCACAACTGGCTTTCCAAATATGTTTCTCTTTGGCTGACGAAGCAGTTGCATGAGCCTCCAGTTTGGATTTGGCAGAGATGCTTAACTCTTTCCTCACAATATCCTACTAACAGAAATGTCCATCTAATGCACTGCTTTTTCTTGTACACATTGGGAGAAGATTTCCATCAGGGAAACAGCATTCCACGTAGGTGGGATAGTACAAGTCATGGTTTAACAAACCATAGTTTAACAAAACATGGTTTAGCATTATGCAGACTTGGGCATCAAGTGATGGGCAATGCAAAACTGCATCCTCACTAGTCTTTGGTACAAAGCACAATCCATTTTTTAAATCCCTTCAGAGCATCCATGTGCATTTTGAAAGCTACAGCAAAAGCTGGCATACGTCCAGGTTGAGGGAACTCTGCCAAATAACTGATAGACAGGATGGATAAGGTCTTCCCTACCTCCTGAGTAGTTGTGACAAATGTTTAAAAATGCTATTTTAATTGGCTAGGGTAAAATGAAGCCTTTAAAAAAAAATCCCCAGCAAAGAGAAGTTTCTTTAACCAGACTGCCCGGCATTCTAAATTTCTCTGACTGATATAAAACATCTGGCTGTCTCTGATGAAATGTAACAGAGTAGTGAAGTTGACATGCTTTATTATGATAGGACAGACTAGTTGTAAATTAAAATAAAAACACAAAAAGCCCAGATTTAGTAAATCACCATTCGCAAGTTTTCTTTGCTGTTTATCAATTTGCCTTTTCATGTTCCATTTTCCATTAAAAGGTCTTTCCCCCCAGAAGACCTTGCTTGAGCTGCAAAATTGGCATTCCACATCTGAAGCCAATGGAGTACAAATAATTCATGTCATAAAAACTTAAGAAGAGACCTGGATCAGACTAAAGGTCCATCTAGCCCAGCATCCTGTACTTACAGTGGTCAACCAGATGACTCTTGGATGACCACAATCAAGACCTGAGCCCCACAGAACTCTGCCCACTTGTAATTTGCAACAGCTGGCATTTAGAGGCATACGGTCTCTGACATTGGCAGTGGTACACAGCAATCATAGCTAGTAACCATGGATTTGTCTAATCCACTTTTAAAGCCACCTAAGTTAGTGCGTAGGGGCACGGGTGGCGCTGTGGGTTAAACCACAGAGCCTAGGACTTGCCGATCAGAAGGTCGGCAGTTCGAATCCCCATGATGGGGTGAGCTCCCGTTGCCCGGTCCCTGCTCCTGCCAACCTAGCATCAAATGCAAGTAGCATTTATCTACTTGCATCAAAGTGCAAGTAGATAAATAGGTACCGCTCCGGCGGGAAGGTAAACAGCGTTTCCTTGCGATGCTCTGGTTCGCCAGAAGCGGCTTAGTCCTGCTGGCCACATGACCCGGAAGCTGTACGCTGCCTCCTTCGGCCAATAAAGCGAGATGAGCGCCGCAACCCCAGAGTCGGCCACGACTGGACCTAATGGTCAGGGGTCCCGTTACCTTTAAGTTAGTGGGTATCACTACATTTTGTGGTGGTGCATTTCACA